TCTAACCCAGAACTCTATCTCTGACAATAGCCAGTAAGTCTATGTCTAGACTGCAGTGCTTTTCCAGGATACCGCATCCAAGGAGTGCATCTGCTTTTTCACAATTTTTTTTGAAAAAGTGGACATGCTCTTTCACCATCCCTGTAAACCTCATTTTATGAGGAAGAAAGGATGTGTTGAAAAAGGACTTTTTTCCAAAATTTGGCGCCATGTAGTCATGCCAAATTTTGGAAAAGTCTCTTTTGACAGTAAAGTGAAAAAAAATACACAATTTGCGTACTGCAAATTGCATTTCTTTTTCTAATTTATCTTTGCAGTGTAGACCTAGACTTAGTCTCCTCTTGTACTCTAATAGCCAGAGAATAGCATAAGCCCGAAAGAACAAAATTTTATATCCCTTCCAAATGTTTTAACATTGATTTTGATAATTCTGGGCATTCATAGTATCCATATAAATAGTCAATCCCTTTTTGAACTTTGTCACATTCTTGGCCTTAACTACTCCTTGTGGCAGTGAGTTCCACAGATTTATTCTCCTTTGTATGAACAAGTATTTCCTTTCATTGATTTTGAGTTTTACACCTTTTATTTTGATTGAATCTCCCCTTGTTCTTGTGTTCTTATGTTATAAGACAGAGATAGCGGAAGCTTCCAATCTACTTTATTTAGGAAAAACTTTAAAAAACAACAGATAGTCTAGCAGCACCTTAAAGACTAACAAAATATGTAGGTGCTACTAGACTATTTCTTGTTTTTAAAGTTTTTCCTTTTACAGATTAACTCGGCTACCCCTCTGAAGCTTTTCTCTCCGACATGTTAGCCTTGTTAACCATTTATCTGACCGGTTTTTCCCGAAGTGAGTCTTTTTTATCTAAAGGCTCTGTAGCCACGGAGCCTCACAGCTCCCATTGGCTCCAATTCACTGTTTTCAGCCAAAGGGAGCTGCTGGAAGCGGTGGCCTGGGCCATGCATGGTGGAGGACCTAACACTTTGTGTTGACAGGATCAGTATTATTTTACATGGGTAATCCCTGCATTTTCTGACAGAGTGATGTTCCAGTTTTGGTTCCTGATTCACAGACACAGCACCCGATTCTGATGCTCCCTTCACTATGGAGTTTCCTCAGGACCAGGGAGAGATGATGTCACAGAACTATTACTCCCATCTCCCAGGCTGTGTCTAGACTACATGCCTCTGTCGGCAGAGGCATGTAGATTAGACAGATCGGCAGAGGGAAATGAAGCCTCGATTAAAATAATCGCGGCTTCCTTTAAATTTAAATGGCTGCCCCGCTCTGCCGATCAGCTGTTTGTTGGCAGATCTGGGCAGTCTGGACGCGCCGCGTCGACAAAGAAGCCTTTCTTGATCGGCACAGGTATGCCTCATGAAACCAGGTTTACCTGTGCC